GCCCCTACTGCTGTGTTGTTCCCCTATTGGCTAGGGTTGGACTGCACAAGACTTAAGCTAATTCCGATAGACTATTTTAAAGAGAGGGGGGTATGAGTTGGAGTGGCGAGGTGAGTAGTTTGATGGGGAGGACAGTTACAGAACAGGTGACTCAGGATGACTCAGGTCAGAGTGGTGACCAGGGGTGACTCAGGACAGAGCAGGTGACCAGGGGTGACTCAGGACAGAGCAGGTGATAGAGGCTAGGAGGGGGCTGTTTACTGAAACTAGGGGCAAGGAGACGAAGAGAACAAGGAAGTTAAACTTTAAAATGAAGAACAAAGAACAGGGGAGCTGAATGTACTGATACATTGGTTCTTTCGAGAGGATCTCAGAACTCATTGTACTTAACAATTTACAAGCTAAAATCTTTGAAGAAGAATTTATTATATCCTACACCTATCCCAGCATGGGGTTGAATCAAAGAATCTTTGCCCTGTTGTCAATTCTTATCTTGATTTACCTATCTGGTCATTGCCCTAAGCATGTCAGATCAGATTTCTCATTGTAATCTTTGACTTCTGGTTTTAAAATTTTTCCAAACTGGAATAGGTACAGCAGACTGAATTGGGGTTCTGTAATGTTAGGGGACCAGCAGAGTCCCTCTGGCCCATACAATCTCTGGTATATTAAACCTTCATTTTAACTTTAACAATGTCCATTTTATTTATTCCATTTGTAATAATCATCTAAAATTTTTCTACCCTAAACTTGCATTTTCCTAGGGCTGACGCTTAGGTAAAAAAAGGAAGAAAACTTACATACCAAAGTCATAAAACTTAGATCTCAAGCTTAAATACTGTTATTTGCCAAGACAAGGAATGGTATAGGTAGAAAGTTCAGTTAAGACAAGGCAGTCAGCAAAGGTGAAGCTCGTTATGTAGATTTATGCCAAAGCTTTCTCTCATTACAAAAATTTTTAGTAATTTTCCTTTATAGGTATCAATTTTTACAAGAGTTTCATTTTTGCATTTAAAATTTTTATTTGTATAAATTTATGGAGAACAAGTATAATTTTACTACATGCATAGATTGCATAGTGGTGATGTCAGGGCTTTTAGGCTATCCATCACCTGAATAATGTACATTATACCTATTAAGTAATTTGTATTACTTTTATTTTTAAAATTTCATTATTTACATTTTTTTCTTTATTTCTTCAAAAAAAAAAAAAAAAGAAAAAGAAACAGGATACATGTGCAGAACGTGCAGGTTTGCTACATAGGTATATGTGTGCCATGCTGGTTTGCTGGACCTATTGACTCATTCTCTAAGTTCACTCCCCTCACCCCCCATCCTCAACAGGTCCTGGTGTATGTTGTGCCTCTCTCTGTGTCCCACATGTTCTCTATGTTCAACTTCCACTTGTGAGTGAGAACATGCTGTGTTTGGTTTTCTGTTCCTGTGTTAGTTTACTGAGGATGATGGCTTCCAGCTATTAAGTAATTTTTCATCATACACCTCCTCCCACTCTCTCACCCTCTATCATTCTACACTCTACATCTATGTGTACCTTTTGTTTAGCTCTCACTTATAAGCAAGAACATGCAGTATTTGTCTTCCTGTTTCTGACTTGTTTTACTAACTCACCTCCAGTTCCATCCGTGTTTCTACAAAAGACATGATTTCATTCTTTTTTAGGCTGAATAGTATTCTACTGCATATATAAACATGTTTTTTAATCCAATAATCTGTGGATGGACACTTAGGTTGATTCCCTATCTTTGCTATTGTGAATAGTGCTACAACAGAGATAGAGGAACAGGTATCTTTTTGATATTAATGATTTCTTTTTATTTTGAGTAGATACCAGTAGTTCTACTTTGAGTTCTTTGAGAAATCTCCATACTGTTTTCCATAGACATTGTGCTAATTTACATTCCCACCAACAGGGTATAAGAGTTCGCTTTTCCCTGCATCCTCATCAACATTTGTTGTTATTATTTTTTTAATATAATAGTCATTCTGACATATGTAAGATGACATCTCATTGTTGTTCTAATGTGCATTTGTCTGATGATTAGTCATATTGAGCATTTTTTCATATGCCTATTGGCCATTTGTACATCATCTTTAAAAAAATGTCGGCCAGGCGCAGTGGCTCATGCCTGTAATCCCAGCACTTTGGGAGGCCAAGATGGGTGGATCACGAGGTCAGGAGGTCGAGACCATCCTGGCTAACACAGTGAAACCCTGTCTCTACTAAAAATTAAAAAAAACTAGCCTGGCGTGGTGGTGGGCGACTGTGGTCCCAGCTACTGGGGAGGCTGAGGCAGGAGAATGGCGTGAACCTGGGAGGCAGAGCTTGCAGTGAGCAGAGATTGCACCACCACTGCACTCCAGCCTGGGCTACAGAATGAGACTGTCAAAAAAAAAAAAAAAAAAGAAAGAAAGAAAAAGAAAAGAAAAACAATTACACTAAAGGAGGTTTTTTGTTTGTTTGTTTGTTTGTTTTACCTTTTTGATAACTCACCTAAAAAAATGAAGACTTTATGTTTTATCAAGCTAATTCCTGAGTTGTCTTTATTATGTTTTTGATTATTTAAGAAATAATCAAAGAGATCAAGCCACTGCACTCCAGCCTGGGCGACAGAGCGAGACTCCATCTCAAAAACAAAAGTCTATTCATGTCCTTTGCCCACCTTTTAATGGGATTATTTGGGTTGTCTGTTGTGAGTTATTGAGTTCCTTGTTTCAAAGTAACTAGCTGGGCCAGGTATGGTGGCTCACACCTGTAATCCCAGCACTTTGGGAGGCTGAGGCAGGAGGATCGCTTGAATCCAGGAGTTCAAGACCGGCTGGGCAACATAATGAGATACCATTGCTACAAAAAATAAAAAATTAGCTGCGCATGGTGGCACACACCTATAGTCCCAGTGACTCATGAGGTTGATGTGAGAGGATCACTTGAGCCCAGGAGGTCAAGGCTGTAGTGAGCCACAATCATGCCACTGCACTCCGGCCTGGGTGACAGAACAAGACCCTGTTTCTAAAAAAATTTTTATTGAAATAAAAATAACCAACTCAATGCCAGAAAAGAATGCATTGGAGACTAATTTAGATAGCCAGCTTTTTAATTTAGCTTCTGTTTCTTAACTAGATTGCTAAATACAGGGCAAAGCCCATTAGTAATAGAGCAGACAGAGCATTTCTTCTTCTCCTTCTCCTTCCGCCTCCTCCTCCTCCTCCTCACTTCTTCTCCTTCTTCTTTTTCTTCTTTTGAGACAGGGTCTCACTCTGTCACCCAGGCTGGAGTGCAGTGGTACCATCTCAGCTCACTGTAACCTCTGCCTCCAGGGCTCAAACAATCCTCCCACCTCAGCTTCCTAAGCAGCTAGGACTACAGGCACACGCCACTAGGCCCAACTAATTTTTGTATTTTTTTTTTTATAGAGACAGGGTTTCACCATGTTGCCTAGACTGGTCTCAGACTCCTGGGTTCAAGTTAACTGCCCGCCTCAGCCTCCCAAAGTGTTGGGATTACAGATGTGAGCCACTGTGCCCAGCCCAGACAAAGCATTTTCTATGCCTGGACTCATCACAGATAACTATAAACTCAAGAATCTTGTCGGGGCATATTGGTGGTTAGAGAAGCATACATGGTGACCTGAGGATTTAACTCTTATAAACATTTTTTTCTAGCTTTCTTTTCATCTTTAAGGTGGGATGGTAACTAATTGAAAAGGTTAGCAGATTCCAATTTTCTTATCAATTAGTTACTTAAGCTATTCCTTTTCCCTTGGTAAGGAATCTTTTTAAAAAGGCAATTAAAAAAATCTTTTTGGAAGCTTCTGCATATAATTAAAATAGACATCCCTGAGTGGGCCTAATTTTGGAGCCCTTATTTTAAATGCACTTCTTAGATGAATAGTCTTGTTTATCTAGAACATTCTACAAATGACCATTATAATTCCAAATTATTTTTAATAAGATTTCATTGTTTCTGTAAGTATAATCATGCATCGTTTAATGATGGGAATACATTCTAAACCATCACTAGGTGATTTCCTCATTGTGTGAATACCATAGAGTGTACTTACACAAACCTATAGCCTACACCTATGCTGTAGGATAGACCTTATATCCCCTAGGCTACAAACCTGTATTACCATACTGTTACCATACTGAATACAATAGGCAATTATAACACAATGATAAGTATTTGTGTATCTAAACATAGAAAAGGTGCAGTAAAAATATGGTATAAAAGATTTTAAATGGTAGACCTGTATAGGGCACTTACCGTAAATGGAGGTTGTGGGACTCAAAATTGTTCTAGGTCAGTGAGTTAGTGAGTGGTAAGTGAATGTGAAGGCCTAAGACATTATCATGTACTGCTATAGATGATGTTAACACTGTACATGTGGGCTAGACTGAATTTATTTTAAAATTTTCTTTATTCAATAATAAATTGACCTTAGTTTAATGTAACATTTTTACTTTATAAACATATTAATTTTTTAAAATTTTGACCCATAATAACACAGCTTAGAACATAAACATACTATATAGCTGTACAAAAATATATTCTTTATATACTTATCCTATTAGCTTTTTTCTATTAGAATTTTTTTGTACTTTCAAAACTTTTTTGCTGCATATTACGGAACAAACATACATTAGCCTAGGCCTACACAAGTTCAGGATCATCCATATCACTGTCTTCCACCTCCACATCTTGTCCTTCTGGAACATCTTTAGGTCAAAAACATGCATGGAGCTGTCATCTCCTAAGATTACAATGCCTTCTTTTGGAATTCTTGGTTTATGGTGGTTGTTCTTGAGTAAGGATTAATAGCAACACCTTTTACTCACAAATGTTTCCTAGTTCAGACAAGAAATTCCATGATTAACTAATTCTATGAGCCACAGAGAAGACAACCACCACTACTGGGTGGCATGGGTCAGAGATATTGCAGGTGTGGGGTCTCTTCCAACCTTGAGGGCCTGCTCTGACTTACCTTTGGTTTGCGGGAAGGAGGCATTTTCTCCCGCTCCATTTGTTTCGACAGTGTGGTTTCATCATCATCTTCCGTTACGGTTTGGTGAACACGGCCATCCTTCTGTAATCAGATTTTAAAGAGGAGAGGTGTGGGTAGATAGTTCTTTATAGAACTCAGGGCACACTCCCTCACTGTGACTGAATCCCCTGTGTCTGTCCTGTCTGCAGGATACCCAGTTTTCAGCCAAGTTCACCACATCCTTAACCTCTTGGCTTTCGCAGAGACCATAGACACAGGGCTTGAATCCTGATTAACTGTGGGAATTCACCTCCCCCTGCCTGCATCTTTGGGTGAACTGGTTGTCTCTTACACAAAATTGAATGCCCATGACTTGCAGGTAGTTGGTCAACCCCTTCAAGTCTGCAATCCCCTTCAGTGCCCATGATTAGAGGCTAGAGGTCTCCATTATACTCAGGTCTGTACTTCTCTAGCCACCACTGTGGCAGGAAGTCTGAAGGAAGAGAGAGTGTGATGATGTCATAAGGGCACCTATGACTCTGGCATCAGAATGGCTTCCAACAGCCGAATCTTTTCCAGTGAATATGTGGAACTCTTGTCCATTCTTTTTTGCAGACATGGCCACAATTTGACTACAAAAGCAAGCCACTGGAAATACTGGCTAATTAGCACAAAGAAGTATATAGCTAGTGATTTCAATCTAGTTAATAAAAACAAAAATTGAGACAACCTAAACCTCCATCAAATACAAAATTCAGTCACATGGATTTCAGTTCAATGAAACAATTGAGCCATATAAAGATGAGAAAGAATGAATTAGTAGAAAAATTCTCAAACAGGTGCTTCAGAAAAGGAGATTTAGGAATGACTAAGAAGCACATGAAAAGATGCTCAATATAAATAGTCATGAGGGAAATAAAAATGAGAACCAAAATGAAATACCCCTAGACACCCTAAGAGAATGGCTAACACAAGAAATCTGACAGTACTAAATCCTGGCAGGGATTCAGAATGGGTAGATCTCTTATACACTGCTGATAAAAAGGTGTGAAACAGCAGAACCACTTTGGAAAATGGTTTGGCACTTCCTAATGAAGTTCAACATGCACCCGTCCTGTAACTCAGTAGTTTCAGTCCTAAAATTTGCAAATTAAAAATGAAAACACATTTACAAAGACGTGTGCATGGATATTCATAGCAGCTTTATTCAAATAGGTCAGAACTGGAAACAACCCAAATGTCCACCAACAGGTGACTAGACAAAACTTTCGTGATATATTAGTATAATGGAGTAATAGTAACAAAAATGAATATATTCATACACGGAATAACATAGATGACTCTCAGAAACTTGGTGCTAAATGAAAGAAACTAGACTACCTATAGGTTCTTCCATTTATATAAAATTCTAAAACAGGTAAAACTAACAGGTAAAATGAACCACAATAGAAAATGAATCAGATGAATTCCTAGATATAGGGGTTTTGCTTGCAAACAGCACATGGAAACAAAGAGGAATGTGCTATATCTTGTTTTGGGTGGTGGTTACCAAGGAATATGGAACTGTGAAAATTCATCAAACCAAGCACTTAATGAAACCACAGAAAAGAACTTGTTCTGTCTGTACTGATATGGAGTACAAGTGAAACAAATTGAGTTGATGGACAAATACTTATAAGCATATCATAATAGTACTATGAAAACAAGGGAATTAGGAAGACATACACAACCAAAATTTATCAATGATTATCTTTGATGAGGCCAGTAGAATTGGAGGGACAGGGCACACTCCCTCACTGTGGCTGAATCCCCTGTGTCTGTCCTGTCTGCAGGGCACCCAGTTATCAGCCTCCTGGGAGAACAGGACACACACAGAGAAGGATATCTCTGAGGCCCCAGCTATGGTACAAATGTCTTTGACTGCTCTCTTGTCACAGGCAGAAGATGAGTCAGCACAGCCACTGCAGAAGCAGGCACCATCTCTGCCTGAACCTAACCACTGAAAAGCCACTTGGTGCCGCAGGTCAATGCTCAGTAGAAGGTCCTCTGGCCACGGCCTGAGGGGTCAGCATCAGGCCCTCGTCCCCCTCAGAGTTTCTGCCCAGGGGTCACTAAAGAGTACATTTGAAATGTTTAGGGTGAGTACTGGGGAGGCTGCAGTGGGGCTCTGGGGGGAATGTAGGGAAGAGGAGGAGGCCAGTTAAGGCTGGGAGTGGATATCAAGGTGAAGATAGTAGGACGAGGGGCATGGAAAAGACAGGCGCTAGGTGGAGGGCAGGATAAGTGGTGAGACGAACCTGTGGGACGGGGAAGGTGCAGAGCGCATTTTTTGATGAAGTGATTGGACAATACCCACAGGGCCAGATTTGCATTTCTGAGTGTCTTTCTTTGGATCATGGCCTAGTGATTTTTTTTTTTACTGTATTGTTAGTTTTCAATTTCTTCAAGAAGAAACTTAAAATGTTTATTGATCAGCTTTTCTAGTTACCTTTAGCAAAAGGACCATTCCAGCTCCTTAGCATGTCATTACTAGAAGCAGGAGTCCGTCCATGCTGTATCCTTACCCACTCCTTTATTTTCAAATTCCCATCTCCTTCTGTGCACAAAATACATGTGTTTCTCTTTTGATCCAGCAGGAAAGTCTCTGTATTTTGATAGACACTACTACAAATTCATGGTTATTTTCATTTCTAATATGCTTTGACTTACTGCCATATTGCTTCATACTTTCCAGCTGTCGTTTTTTTTTTTCTTTCATTTTCACTTTTGTTGTCTTTTGTTGAATTGGCAAGTAATTGTTTGGATTTTTATTCTTTTTCCACTATAGAAGTTGAGGCAGACTGCACTTGCCCAGCCAGTATCCATTTTCCTCGTCTTTCTAACTAATGGAACCATGAATATTTGGAGTGGCAATATCTCCAGCCTGGTGGCACCTCCAGGGATTTGTCATGCAGAATTCCAGAAACAACCACCTTACAAAGCAAGACATGCAAGAGTAGGCATGGCTTTCATCAGTGATGGCAGAAAGTTGTTCTCTTACTGCTTTGGGAGGAGGAGGAGCTTCTGAAGAAAAGATCCCTTTAGAGAAGTGAGGCACAGGCCAAAGGCAATAGGTCCTGAGCAGAATCTTTGCAACCCGCCCTTGCCAATGGCGTTGGGCACCAGACAGAACCCTGGACCTGAAAATATACTATAGCTGCTCTGCAGATTCCCACTCCCACACCTTCCAACACATAGAAGGGACTTGGGGCTGAGGGAAGCATCACCCAGCTGCAAGGCATGAAGACCCCTGCACACCTCCCCACTGGCCCTCCCACCGCTCAGGCAGGGCCCACCATGGAAAGACCCTACAGAGGGTTGCAGACCTCAGACTTCTGGGATGAAGGTTCACACAAACATCTGCGAGACACAGGTAGAGAGTGAGGGGCCTTGGGCATGGATGACAAAGCAGAGACAGTGAGAGACCACGTGAGAGATGGTTGCACCATAGGTGCCCAGAGACAGAGGGAGACTCAGCAAAGCAGTGGCCCAGCAGCACCCACCCAAGGCAGGTCCAGCAGAGGATGAGGCAGCCTGGGGGTAGGCCGGAGAGGGGACATGGGAGTGGATGAGGAGCACAGCTGCTTCTGAGGACGTGGTAGGATTTAGAGGCTGTGTGCCCAATGACCTGCACTGGCGGAGGGACAGCCCTTTCCCCTGCCTACCCCTAGTTGTTTACTACCCCCATGCCACCCCCACCACCATCTCCCCACACCCCCCGAGTCCCTCTCCCTTCCCAGATCCCATGCCTGGTTCTCCCAGGAAGTGCTGAGCAGAGGGGAGGGAAGCCTCGTTGTTCAGCCCCAGGGTGGGGAGGCAGTAGGCACAGCTGCTGCCCTCAGCTCCTGCTCTGGCTTCCCCAGGGGCTGGCTCTGACTGGCTGCTCCCCCACTGTATCCCCCACCATAAGGCACAGCGTCTGTCCTGCCGTTGCCCAGCTGAAGTGCCATGTCCTCCTGGCTCCTTGCTAAGCACTCTGCCGGCCCTGAGGGCCCTGCCAAACACAGGCCTGTGGAATCCTGGTCTTCTGAGCTGGCCCTGGCTGCAGCCGGATTCTCTGATGTCTTGCTCTGAATGGAGATGCCTGGTCAGGGGCTGTGAAAAATAAAGCCCAGTTTTTACACTCTCTGGGGAAAGGGGTTGAAACAGTCCTCCTGCCTCTGTTGGCATCCCAGTCAGCCTGAGCACTAGGGCCTCTTTTAGAGACAAGTTTCACCAGATCTGTTGTCAGGGGCAGCAGCCAAGGGTCAGCCTGGGCCAGGCCTTCTTTTATGCAACAGATCTCCCACAAGTGGCCATCAGATTGGCAAATCTGGGGTTAGCTAGGTTTTCCTACAGCCAGGCCTATGTCATTGCATTCTCTATTTCAAGTTTCATCTGGCTTGCTGTGACTTTGCAGACCGGGCAGGTGTGATAGGAAGTGAGGAAGGGCCTGGTAATACTGTCTGGGGTTCCGAATCCAACTACAAAAAATGGGCCTTCTGGTATGCTGACAAATGGGCCTCTAAAAGGTATGCACATGAAATCCCTAGAATCTGTGACTGTTATCTATGACAAAAGATGTGATTAACTTAAGGGTCTTGTGAGGAAGGATTTATCCTGGATTACCTGCATGGGACCTAAATACAGTCATAGGTACTGTATTTAGGTACTGAATGGCAGAGGAAGTTTTAAGAGAGACACACTTTAGACAAGGCGATGTGAAGAGGAAGGCAGGGACAGGAGGGATGTGACCTCAAGCCAAGGAATGCTGGGAACTACCAGAAGCTGGAAGTGACAAGGAAGGAAATCTCCCCTAGAGCTTCCGGAAGGAGCTTGGCCCTCCTGACACCTGGATTTCAGCCTCTAGCCTCCAGAACCGTAAGAGAACGTATTTCTTTTCTTTTAAGCCACCAGGTATGTGGTAATTGTTACAGCAGCCACATAAACAAATAGACCTCTTAATTTTTTTTTGTTTTTTGAGATGAAGTTTTGCTCTTGTTGCCCAGGCTGGAGTGCAATGGCAGGATCTCAGCTCACTGCAACCGCCGCCTCCTGGGTTCAAGCAATTCTCCAGCCTCAGCCTCTAGAGTAGCTGGGATTACAGGCACCTGCCACCATGCCTGGCTAATTTCTGTGTTTTTAGTAGAGACGGGGTATCTCCATGTTGGCCAAGCTGGTCTCAAACTCCTGACCTCAGGTGATCCATGTGCATTGGCCTCCCAAAGTGCTGGGATTACAGGCATGAGCCACCGTGCCCAGCTTAGACCTCTTAACTTTTAAATAAACCAATAAATTCCCTTTTTTGGCTTCCAAGTCTATTTTCTGTCATTTGCAACCAAAAGAGTCTTAATTTAGACAATAACTTAAAAGAAGGAAGACAGGCAAAAGAAAAGGATGGATTGTTATATAGGAATCAGTGGATGAGAGAAGGACACTTTCAGGGTAGAGGAAAGGAAGACGATGAGTGTGTTCCAGTGTGATGATGTGGA